CAAGAAGACCTGACATAATATTCTTACACTGAGAAATTGAAGTATGACTCTTTTTTTTTTTTCTGTGAGCACATATAAGGAATATTCATTTTCCCTTGCAGCAGCTGTGTGTGGCCATGAATAATTCCCTGTGAGTTTGTAATATTAGTTACTGTAAAATGTTACATGGAAATTCTAGGACACTTGGCACTTTATCCGGCATTGCATTAACAGCACCGCATGGTTTTAATCATCTTCTTAATCAGTCTGTTAACTACAGAAATAATAAGGCTGTCTGAACATTTTGAGTTACAGTAGCAGGAAGTCATGAAGAAAGTTATTGTTTGGCAAGAAATTCCTGAGAAAGCTAATGTTAGCAAGTTTAAAGCTAAAGTTAGCATCAAGGAGGTCTATAATACCTGGAGAAATCTGTGTGTTAGCATCATGTAGACTATAATGAGCATAGAAAGATAATGTTAGCATCACAGAAGACATGGTGATGATGATAATAACATGGGAAAGCTATCCGTTTGCATCAATGATGTGTAGAATACCTGGAGAAAGTTATACGTTAGCAACAAGTAGTATTATACCTCAAGAAAATACCCCAGAAAGCTAGTGTTAGCATCAAATGTTTACTTGTATAAAGCTAACATTGTTAGCATCCATCCAGAAGGTAACACAAGAAAGCTATCATTGCATTATGGAAGTGTACACAAGAAAACTCTCGGTTAGCATCGAGGAGATGCAAAATTCCTCATGAAAGTTGTTTGTTAGCAAATACTGTACCTTAGAAAGCTAATGTTAGCATCAAGGATGTCCATAATAATTGTAAGCTAACATTAGCATCAAGGAGGTCTAAAATGCCTGAAGAAAGCCATCATTTAGCATCAAGAAGCTGTATTATAGATGAATAGAGCTAATTTGTCAACATCAAACACACAAGAAAGCTAATGTTAGCATAAAATATGTTTATAATACTTGTAGAAAGCTAACACTGTTGGCTGCAAGGTGTCCTTGACGTAAAAATTATTTTACTTTTTTTTTTTTTGCCATATTGACTATAAACCATTTGTACCACAGGTTTATTACAGTTACCACTGTAAAAATATAGTTAGTGTAGTAAAACCAGGGTGAATTTGTATTTACAAAACATGGCTAATTCCCATCATATACCATCATGGAGGTGTATTAATACACAAGAAAACTCTTGGTTGGCATCGAGAGTATAGTATTCCTCATGAAAGATGTTCTTTAGCATCAAATATGTGAGAAAACTGAAAAAAGCTATCTGTTAACATCAAGAATGTGTAGACAGCTATGTGTTAGCATTCCCTTTCATTTCAGTGGCAGCCAGCTGCTCACCTTTTTTGTTTTGTTTTGTCCTCTACCAGGGCTAACTGGAGCCATGCTAACCAGCCAAATTTTTATTCTGCTCGTTTAAATGAATTTGAGTAATTTCTCAGTGATTGTAGTATGAATATGTTAATGCATTTAATTCAAATTCCCGAAACTAACCGATCCCATGCGATGGGCAGCAGTCAGGCAGTTCATCCCTGTTCAATTACATATTTATTTGATTAGGTGCAATGAAGCACATCTGCAGAGGATTACGTGTCGGAAGACGTTAAATGAAGGGAGATATTTGCCTCTTAAATTACTCTCACATTATCTATGGTCTTATTTTCACATTTAGTGGACCAGAGCACCCGAGAACCAATGGTTTAGCAGTTAAACTTCAGTTTGGGTCTTTACTTTCGTTTTAGATACTTTTTATGTGACAATGTAAATGATAGTCACAAATGCAATCACAGAAAATTTTGAGAAGAATGTGACTACATGGTGTAAACAGGGTCACAGAGTCATGGAGCTCAATCGGTTGACACAAGTTCAAGTCTGGCTCGTGTTATTTCCTGATGCTGTTCCCTGCTTAATGAATCAATAAAAGTGGCCAAAAATAATATTTTTTTTCTTTTCCAACTAAGAGCTAGAGAGAGCGAGAAGGAGGATGTCCACGCCTCCTGCTGAGAGCCTTGTTGTGTGCCAATACTATGAAGGAAGCACACTGAGATCTCTCAGCGGGGACTGCGCACATACTTTCGCTTGCCTTGTAACTCTGAACATT